TGTAATCTGTACAGCTACACATGATTTCATGCCTTCACAGAATAATAGCTGAAACTTTCTATACCTAGTGAAAACAAAAAAAAAACTATCTGCAACCTTCAGTATGCATACTCAAAATACACAGCTTTCATCTCCTCATCCATTTCTGAATGAGCCACCACACTGCCTACGTAAAGATGCACTTGAGTAAGCAGAAAATCAGTTATGGCACAGGTACAGTCTGATCTTTTCTTCTTTATTGTTTCTCTGCAGAGGTAGGGGCAAGCAATACTAAGCATCAGAGCTTGATGCAGCACATCCGAAAGAGACATTCACTTGAGACTACACCTGTAACATATGATCTCAGATTAATATGGCCAGCTTGAATCAAGCAACATGCCTGCAGAGAAGCAAGAAGAGACTCCTCTCAAAAAGACCTTTTTTGTAGAATGGGCATGGACATACAATAGTGCTGAAACAATCTGTACCAGAGCTTGCTAACAAGTAAAAACAGTTCAAAAAGTGCCAAGTTAATGCCAGGAGATTTATTTTCTGGGAATCTGACAACATAAGAAAATGTGAAAAATTATTTTATTTTATTTATTTATTATTTCATTTTATTCAATTTCTACCCCGCCCCTCTAGACATCTACTCACATTAGAATGCAACTGTAGCCATATCTATGTAGAGGTAATGTTTTTATTTTGGTGAAAGCCACTTTTAGCAGAAAAAAGACCATGTCAGGTTTGAGTACTGCTTTACTCCTGAAAAGGGCTAGGGACAATTGGTTCATTAAGGGGAAAAGAATTCACCAGCCTGCATCACAAAGATAATAGCTATCAGGGAAGTAACCTTGATTATAAGTGGCTAAACGTCTCTGTACCTAGTGGCTCATACTATCTTATGGTTAGCTGGGTAAGAGATGAGCATGGGACAGTTGGGAGACAGAAAGCATAGGGTTCACAGTTTAATAAAATGTTTCAACTACAAGTGACAAAGTAGATTACAGTTAACAAAATGACAAAAAAAAATGGAGAAGCGCACCCAGTAAACCTCAAAAAAGGATAGCAAGCTAGGTCTTCACTTATGAGAAACAACATGGACTGAGCCAAAAAACAGACTGGTAGCAAGTGCAGTTCTCAAAGTTTCTGGGGCTCTGCAAATGATGGTCATTATCTGCTGTAAAGAAGCTCTATTCCCAAAACCTCATCTGTACCTGAGATGTTCACACTTAGCAGCACTATTCAGAATAAAAGCATTTATATACTACAAGTCCCTAACTAAGACAGAGAAGGTAGCAATCCCTCTGAGCTGATCTTGGAAAATGTAAGACATCTACAACAAAGAGAACACTGGATATTGCATGAGTACTGTATTCCTCACCATAAGAAAAAACATCCATGATGCATTACTGTCTTCCTTGAAGAAAAGGAAAGAAAACAAGCTATTTACTACAGAGCTGCCTGGCCCACAACAAGAACACCATGGACTTACATAGTAACATCGTAAAACTACACAGTCATACGCTGAACCAAGCAAAAAAGTCAGTACTTTCATAGGCCCTGTCTTTTGTGACATCAAACCCACACAGATTATACAGCTCTGTGGTGACCTTGAAGCCCTCTTCTGCAGACTACAACTGAAAGAACATTTGCACAACTTTGACAACAAGAACAACACACGATCTGTGCATCACTCTTCACAACATGAAGAGGAAGTGTCCCAACAACATGAGGAACTATATACCAACACACATTCACCTTTCTTCAAGCACCAGAGAAAGAAGAATTTTACGTAGAGTTCTTCCAAGGATCAGAACAAAGAACTAGATTTCTATATTGAGTGCTTTCATCACTGTGCCTTGGCTGAAATCATCAACAAGGGACAAGATTTACCATACAATCTCACCCAAACACAGCATGATGCCATACACGACCTCAAAAACAATCCCCATATATTCATCAAAGAGGCAGATAAGGGTGGCACTGTGGTTGTCATGGACAAATCAAGCTACACATAGTTGAGAGACAATTGGCCAACTCTGTATTTTACCAGCTTTTAATTACAAACACAACTCTTAAATATCAAAAGGAATTACAAAACCTTATGAAAAACTTTCCTGAAAACGTAAGTGAACAAATCCTGACTCTCACACCTCAATAATCTCAACCCGTCACCTTCTACCTACTACCAAAAATACACAAACCAGGCAGCCCTGGTAGACCCATTGTATCAAGCATTAATATCATAACTGTTGGGCTATTGAATATGGGGACTCCAACCTCAAAACATTTGCCACCAATGATCCATAACAGAGTAAAACAACAATATGCAAAAAAGGGGTGCAGCCCATGCACTCTTGAAGCAAAAGCAAAATGCCCTCATGCTACCATTGTGACCGTCAACTAAGAGTTCGGCAGAAAAACAGAAGCCACACTCCTTTGAATGTGAGGGTGAGCTTCCAGCCAAAGCACGTCTCCCTAGATCTAACAAGCTTGAACTGTTCCTTTGCACATGCACTGAACTGTAGATGGTATGTACATATTTTGAACATCACTTTTTTTGAAACAACTCACTCTACCATTACTAGGTTTAAAGACTATAGAGCAGTCTAAGTAACTTTTGCTTAGATCAAAATCAAACTAGGCACTGCTATATGTATATAGTACGTGGCAACCTTGACAACAAGTAGATAACCAGGAGGACTCTTGAGAAGCACTATCTTTAAGCAATTTCACAACATAGTTTCACAACACGTAGTTGTTTCTGCTCTTGTAGTTTCTTTTTCCCACTCTAAACGCAAAATTATGCAATCATTATGGAACAAGCTAACAGAAATGTATACCTCTATCTTAAAAATCAATATACATTGACTAGATCAAGTAAGGCCAATTCTATTTCAAGTACAGTCATAGTTTTTAATGGGAGTATGCAACATGAACCAGTTTCTTTTACTATTTAAATGCAACAAGCTTTTTTCATTACTGAACAGTTTAGTTGTGCGAAGTCAGAATGAGTGCTAACTCCGAACTAGAAAAACTAAAACGTTAAACATTGAGCCCTAAGGATGTCTATGAACAAGCTAAATGATGAAATTGCATTGCAGTACACAATTATCAGAATAAAGTCCACAGCATGAGCTATAAGTTTAAAAATCAACTTGGCTATGAAGGCACTGTGCAGCTTTCATATGGTTACCATATTTTTCCGTGTATACAACCCCCCAATGTATACAACGACCCCCTAATTTTGACCCATTATGGAGATGGAGAAGTTAATGGGCAACTGCTCCTCCACCTCCGTCTTCTGCTGCCCCCGCTGCCCGCCCGATCACCTCCTCCAATGCGGGGCTCACCTCCAACTCACACACCTCCGTCTTCTGCTGCCCCCGCTGCCCGGCCGATCACCTCCTCCAATGTGGGGCTCACCTCCAACTCACACTGCAGCCTTGTCCCCTGCCCTAAGGAGACAATCGCTGGAGGAGGTGATTTAGCGGTGGCGGCAGGAAGAGGAGCCCAAGCGTGTGAGAGTGCTCCTTCACCTCTGCCTCCTGAGCTGGAGGTGAGCCCCATCAGTCCCACTGGAGGAGGTGATCAGGTGGGTGGGGGAGGCAGCAGCAAGAGGTGCCCCAGCGTGTGTGAATGCTCATTCACCTCCTCCTGCAAGAGGTGCCCCAGCGTGTGTGAATGCTCGTTCACCTCCTGCTGCTGCTGCTGCCCTGGCCACGGAAGGGACAAGCCCTCAGCTGTGGAAGAGGCAATTGGGCAGCGGCAGCAGCAAGAGGCACCTGAGCGACTGCCTCCTTCCATGTATAAAACAACCCTCACTTTTCCCTCTAATTACAGTGGTGCCTCACTAGACAGTTACCCCGAATGACAGTTTTTTCGCTAGACATTGACTTTTTGTGATCGCTATAGTGATTTGCAAAACAGTGGTTCCTATGGGAGAGTTTCGCTGGACAATGTTTGGTCCCTGCTTCGCAAACCAATTTTCGCTAGACAACGATTTTGACAGCTCCCTCCGTGCTCGCAAAATGGGTGTTTTCGGGACCTAAGCCTCTCAAGACAGCTATTTAAACAGCGGATCGGCGGTTCGTAAAGCGACTTCCCTATGGCCGATCTTGGCTAGACAACGACGATTCTTCCCCATTGGAACACATTAAACAGGTTTTAATGCATTCCAATGGGGAAATGCTTTTCACTAGACGATGATTTCGCTAAACAGCGATTTCAGTGGAACGGATTATCATTGTCTAGAGAGGCACCACTGTATTTTAGGAAAAAACTGTCATTTTATACACAGAAAGATACAGTACTTTTCCTACATAATAAATTTCCTGATCTATAACATAGAAATAACACTAATCTACATAATAAATTTTCTGAAAATACAATTTCTGAAGCATCTTGGCCACCAATAAAGAACAGAATATAAGTAAATAAGGATCGATATTGTTACAAAGCAGGCTGGCAAATTAAAGTTAAGAAGAATATATTTATTATTTATTTATTTATTTATTTAATTTATATGCCGCCCACACTACCCAAAGGTCTCTGGGTGGCTTACAGCATTTAAAATACAATAAAGATATGTAGCAATTAAAATACAATTAAAATATATATAAAATTGCCATCGGACCCACAGCTAATATTATTTCAGTTAAAAGCCTTCTGGAACAGAATATATCTGCATAGGCTTTAGGAAAATGATTAAATATTCAATGCACAGAACAAGCTGAGCACCTATTAAAGTTCCTACAATACCATCTATGCCAGCCATTCTCAATATTTTTGGGCCACAGCCATAAACACAATATGGAAGAAATACTGTATAGGCTGAATCAGGGTTGTACAAGTCACATAATGAACCTTATAAGGTGGTGTATGAAGAATTGTTTCCAGTCTGTGTCGCATCTCTTGGGAATGGCAGATCTGTACTATCTACATCATCATTCAATGAGAACTTCAGGTTTTTCAGTTTATATTAAGTTGTAAGAATTCAGTTTGTTCCTTTTCCTTACCTTTCACTTTAGCTATAACTGTTCCTGCAGCACTTAGAATATCAACTGAATTGAGACTCTGATGTTTGTTAATTATTGCCTTCAGGACACGCAGTAGCTCTCCCAGACGTTCATGAACAACATGATGCAGGCATTCTTGGTTTTCTGGGGGAGGAAATTTAAAGGTATTTAATAGCTGTAAACATTACCGCATAAAATACTATAAATGTATTTTCTATTTTATATAAAGTAAAAGAAACAAAGTATCTTGATGTTTCTCATGCCACAGCAGAAAAAAATTAGCTCAACTATAAAAGATAGAAAATGGGCAAGTCATTTTACCGCTACAATCTTCCTGTGAAAACGAATCAATCAAGTTGCCTGATAAAAACAATAAATAGTCGGTAAGAATTTGGAAGGAACTAGTTACAAATTCCTATTTTGTCACATCAATGTGGGTAGAACAGAGGGGCTATCTACACTGTGAAATTTGGTGTGGTGCTTAAAAGGTCCTTAACTTCAGTGCAATCTATTTTAACTCCTGGTGCCCATCCATGAAGGCAGAACAAAGAGCTATTTTGAATTTCAATGTATCATCTCAAAAAGACTGTATGTCTTAGCCCTGTGCCTGACTGATACAGCCAGCTCTCAAGGGAGAAGAATGGATCGTGTTAAGTAGAAATACAAGTGGACAAGGTCCTTTTTCTGTGCCAAACAGTGCTATCTGGGAACAATACATCATAACTTTATGCTAGTGTGGATAGGCTCTAAGTTATATTATTCACTTTAACAAGGGATAACACCAGGGGAAAGAGTGTAACTCAGAAAGGGATAGTTTCCTTTCCAAGCACAAGGTTCCATTTCAATGTATGAAAGCTAGGACAGCCATGCCAGTTAGTCTCATAGGGCTACATGGTCCAACTCTCTGCCTCAATTTATTTTCTGTCTTCCTATCTCACACCTGACCTCTCTTAATGGGAGATAGGCACCCTAGAAATGAAACAAATAAAAGTGTAACTAATTTTATAAAATTACTTCTACTGTATAGTTATAGAGATATGTTCTCACTAAAAGGGGAATGTTCAGATACTGTGTTGCATTGCTGGCCTTCCAATGCTTTACTGCCGATTTTGAAATGACAACAGAGTAGATGGAAGGTTGAATGTATTTTGTAGCACAAGTCAACTGCTTGTCATACTTTTTAAAAAAATCAACAAAGTAACTAGGGAACAGGAAAATAAAGTTATTTTTAAGAACTATAATTTTAACAGCTGCTCTCTACTTCTACATGTATTTATTATTTATATTTTTAATGTTTATTTAAAATATTTTTACCCTGCCTTTCTCTCCTTGAAAAGGACCAAACATTGGAAGATGATACTTAAGGTTGAAAGCAATGAGCATACAATGGTGGTTAGCATCATTAAAAGGCAATATTAAAGCTAGGAATAAAAATATACAAATATTAAAAAGAAAAAAGATGCCACTGTGAGAGATGGAAAACACTAGTAGTACTAAGCAGCAGTAACAGATAACAATCCATCTAAAAATCTCACAGGTAGCTAGTTAATTGAGAGAAGGCTTGCCCAAAGAGAAAGGTCCTTGCCTGCTTGTGGAAGGACAGCAAATATGGGACCAAAGATGTTCCAAAGTATGGGAGCAGCAACAGAGAAGGCTCTCCTGTGTCCCCATCAGATGCACCTGTGAAGGTGATGGGACATAAGAAAGGCCTCTCCTGATGATCTAAACACCCAAGCTGGCTCATAATGGGAGATACAGTCTTTCGAGATAGCTTGGACCCAGCCATTTAGGGTTAGCTACTGCAATTCTAAGAGCACTGAATTTGGTTTAAAAAGTAATTTTCAAGCTCTAATAGCTGAAGTGGGCTATGGCCACCACTAGATAAATACAACCACTAAATATGGAAATTAAAACAGCACACAGTATGTTCCATCAGTATTCTACGACTTGCTCTACATCAGTTCCTTGTGCCCCTAAAAAGCCATTATGAAATGGCAAGCTCCTTTAGTGTAGTGGGAAGTAAAAACAGTCACTCTAATGGGTACAGAACCTCTCTGTCCATCTGTAGAGACAGATCTCCTCAGTTTTCAGTTTACAAGTAAAAAACTTCATACACATCAACATTTAGTTCCTTCTGATTTTCAACTTCATGAAATAATTTCACTCATTCTGCTAAACTAGGAGACATTAGATAGTTAAGACATATATTTATCAGTAACTTTGGGATTGCCCATAATGTAATAGTAGAACACATACTTTGCAAGTAGAGGGCCCAAAAATAAATGGTCATCATTCATTGGGAAGGAAAATGGAAAAGACATTGGACTAATGGTAGAACTGAGGCAAGCCAGAATAGGTTAGGATCAACAGTCTCACAGTATAAAGTATCATATGAACACACTGGTTAAATCATGAATGAAAACATGATGCATTTTTATAACTACTGTATCAGAAGCTTTAAGTATTTATGAAGTATAAATATACAGCAAACGTTTTAATAATGTGAAAAGTCAGCTGTTAAATATATTCAATACTTCACAGTACCATTTATTATTTAGTCTAAAACTTCAATAAACAAAGCTAATGAAAAAAAAGTAAAGGTGACACAGCTCAAACCCTGACATAATACAGATCTATTATATTCAAAAGACTCCTGATGACCTAATTCTCCTCCTCATTTGTGTATCACAAAAGGCAGGAAAGAACATGGTATACTGTACTGGAAGTTTAATTATTTCAGTTAGTGTTGTAAAGCCTACTCATCTATTGTTTTCTATAAAACATACCTTCAGAATTTACATCTGGCAAGCATGAGGAAGATGTTAATATTAAGTAGAGAGGGCAAAAATTATCAACGACAACAACCCTGACTATAGAACGTAAATGGGTTCTGGGCTGTTTGCCCATGGCCAGAAGAATGAACACATTTAACTAATTTCACATCATGAGTACTCTGGTGAGCCACTGACGAGTTTTAGGAAAGTCCATAAAGTCATGCTCTTTCCCATACTGCTGTGATTTGAAGATATCACAGCAATACAACACAGTATGGAATAATTAGATCTATGAAGCTTATTTACATTTTTAGACAGTACATTACCACATCCTTTAATGTAACACAAAGCACTGCATGTCCATAAAAATATATGTCTTCACCTCAAAACTGGATTTCAAGTTATTATTTTAATTAATGGGCAAGTGACAGTGATAGCAACAAGCCTGTATGATATAACTAGATTGCACTTCCAGTGAAAAGTTGGAGGAAGACCTTAGCCAAAGACCTTTGGAAAGAGTATTTCACAGACACAACGGTACAACTTTGCCAGTGAAAGAAAACAACCATGTCTCTAGTATGAAACAATATATCACACAGAAAGACAGTATGCAGTTTCTTTTCTGATCAACTACTTAAATGATGGTGGCTCCTAAAACAGGTAACAGTTTAAGCTAATTGCTCAGGCTAATGGATCAATTCCATACAATTCCCTGAAGTGACAATTTCTAAAGTAAGGATATAACTATGGAATAAAACCATGAAAATGGGGTATACTGTATAGTGACACCCAATATTTCAACATCAGTACAACACAACAGATGGAATTTTTACAAGCACACACAGTTATGATGACCTGACCTGAACTCAGTCAATCCTGAAGCTTATAATGCTTGCCTCAAGAGAGAGTACTGGATGCAAGAGCAGTCTATAGTTATATTCTACAACCATTCATTACATAGGCATGAAGAAATATCCACTTTCTTTGGTTATGAAAGTGAACTGCAATGAAGCTAGTACTAAGAAAAATATACTGTCATAGAAAAATTGTATTGTTGCCAACAACTCTGACCTATTCATCCAGCTAGCCTCCTTTCCCCCAAAAGGTTACTAATGTAGAATGCAGACAGAAATCTTTGTTTGTATTAGAAGCATCACTGTACAATTAATAATTATACTGGATATTTTTTGCCCAGTAACAGGCAACATCAAGAGCAAGTGGAGCAGCCAAATCAAAATGGAACATACCAAAAACTAGAAAATGCCCAGTAACAGGCAACATCAAGAGCATGTGGAGCAGCCAAATCAAAATGAAACATACCAAAAACTAGAAAATAATTTTTCCCTTTGAATTTTATGCATAGTCAAAAGAAAACAAAACAGCTGACGTTGGGAACATCTCTGAAATACAGGGGTTTTAGTAGATAATGTGAGTGATACATTTATTAGATCACTAAAAAAAATAACAGTCATATGTTACCCCTCAACCCTGTACAAATTTTTGTCAAGTTAAGTAGCACAGACCTGAGAGTGATACAGAGTTCTGTGATTCATGGCCAAATGTACATAGGCACCCTGGTTAAAATAAAGTTTCAAAACGGGGACTACAGACTCAGGTCAGAGGTGTAAATTTTAGATTTCACCTCTGGTGTTGTGAACTGGAATGTTTTCCCCAACCTTGTCAGATGAAGGACTGCCAGTCATTCAGCAACCTGCCCTATATTGATGAACAAGAACTTTTTTTGTTGCTGTTGGGAATAAAGGTACACAGAAATGTAGCAAACCCCATATCAGAAAAGCTGGGATAAAATTAAGTCTACATATTAGGTAAGTCAATTGCAGCCTAATTAGAAGAATTAGTTATGGCATCAGAGTTATCTAGAGGTAAAGTAATAATTCTACCATCGATACTTGCTTTCCAACTTGTCTTGCCAGTTACTCTCTCTTTATTCAAAAGACTAGATTTAGCAAAGGAAAATGAAGCCTTTTGAATGAAAGAGGCAACTAAAAGAAGTGAAACAAGCACAAACTTCTTTAAAGAGAGTAAAGCAGGGTAGGGATTTTGAACATTTTAAAAATCTTAGCTTCCCAATACTACATAAATCTCCTGATACTCAGATCTGACAACAACCCAAATTTCTATTATCTGTAGCTAGAATTTTACAAAACAGTCCCACAAAATACTACTTTCCTGGATGTATACCATAAGAAAACAGGAAACATATGCTTCATCAGAAATAGATTGGTGTGTACAAGAAGCCTTTGACTTTTTCCATCAAACCACTACATTTTTTAAAATCAAGGCTTTATGTTAGCAAACAATACACAAAGGCATCAGATCGTGTTCACAACTCACAAAACTAATGCAGAG